AGTTGTGGTATCACTGGGTAAGCACGTCTTCTTGCTTTCGCATTGGAATCCGTTTCACCGTTATATTGATATCGGAATGAAATATAAAAAAAGACCAAAATTACCAGTGGTTTCACGTTTTTGTGTATCCCAAACTGCTTCTTGACATCGTTTGAGCGCTTCGTCGTCGCTGCTGCTGCTGGAGTCCCTTGCTGAACCCACCATCTTTACGGCATTGCCCGTCATGACAACACACGTGCCGAACTGTTTCCTGTTTTCTGCTGAGGATTATGGGTAAAGTAGTTCGGAAACACAAAGACAACCGATTTTTTTTTCGCCTGCACAAACGAAACGTTTGTGCAAGTATCACTGTCAACAAATAATTCACATAAGCTCACGTGTGTACAATAAACAGTTTGTCTGAAATCATTAAACCGTTCAATAAGTTTAGAAAACAAAAACAAATGAAATGAAGACAACATTCTTTAGCTCTCTAGATACAATATACTGTACCAACAAATCGTATACTGTACTCTAGTACTGTGGTCCCTAACCTTTTGTGTCACGGACCGGTTGAGACAAGTACTATACATACTGTTCGCGGACCGCCAACCAACAGTTTCGAACAGTGTTATTCTACTGCACCACCAATGTAGACTAAAGTAAAATATCACAGTTAACTGAGAAATAGACCACCAGGAATAATTACGCCTTATAACGTAAACGTAATAATTGTTAAGTTACGATCCTACCTACGGCGTCAGCCTCATTGCTACTTGCAAATGAGACACGATTGATTACTGCTTTTATCCGGTGGCTGCGGCTCGTTATTAGTGACTAAAACGCTCATGTTTACGTGTGCAGGCTCTGAAAATTCTGCTCGTAGTTTTTCATGCTTTCCACTTGATCACTTGGGTGCTACTTGTTCAAATGATTCAGCAGGTTTCTTGTATCGTTTTGTTTTTGACGACATGGCACTCACCAACAGCTCCCTCCTCCACGTCACTCTGGAGAGACCGCGAAATATATATTAAAGAATGTGCATCCTAATTGCAAAACCACTTAATTATCAGTAACTTTAAAGACATGGAATCGTACACATTGAATGCCTATACTGTACTTTTCACTGCTGTTTTAACTGCTCTTTGACTATTGACCAATGACCCGATCATGTGAAATATAACTAATTTCTTCACATCTACAATACCAAAGCTGTTCACCAGCAATTCAACCACTGCACCCATCCATTTTCAACACCGCTTTTCCTGAACAGGGTCGCGGGGGTGCTAGAGCCTATCCCAGCTGACTTCGGGCGGAAGACCGATACCCTGAACTGGTCACCAGTCAGCCATAGTGTGCATGTAGAAATAAACTATTCACACTCATCCTCACATCCCAGAGTGGGAACCGATCCCACGCTGCCGGTACACAAGTCTTGCAAGTGTACCACCAGACCATCAGTGACAATTTATGCATTGAAAGTTATTTTTAAAAAATGCACAATTGTACATCATTCAGTGAGTTTACTTGATTCATTTTCATTGTTCCACAGTTCCTGATTGAGAGCATATAAAAATATTCCCATCATCGGATTGGATGAAAGACAACTCTGTGACAATGACAATTGATGACAATTCACAAGTTTCTTTTCACAATGAACATCTGGATGAAAGGCACATACAGTTGTTTCAATGAATGCTTTAAATAGGAAAAAAAAAGTCAAAATAGTTGGCTAATCAAATTATTTCCATACCTGCCATCTACTTATTAAGCTGAAGCAGTACTAAACATTTCCAAAGTGGGAGTTAGTGTTGCCTTCCAAGCAGACAGCAAATATGATTTGTGTGGCCAAAATATTTTCAAATAGTAATGAATAAATTCAAACAAATATAACACGACACTGTCAGGCACAGCATGATCAAGTACTGAAAGACTACATTTCCTGTTTGACATAAAATGCTTTTTTTCCTAGGATGAATATGACACCTGACGTCAAGAAAACTTTATTTTAACTTAAAGATGGTTATAATAGCAGGATATAAATAAACCAAGCATGTTATATCAAGCACATCCACCTTAAATATGTCACACAGTCCGAAGCAATACAAAAATGATACCAATATTCAGGGGTGAATGAAAAACACCTATCACTATCGATACTATATAACTTCTACTCAGCGCTCTTTATTCTTTAAGAGGAGCCACTGTCACATGAGAAAAAGTAGTTGGAGTCATTTCAATGGAAAATGAGTGTACTAATCCAAATCCAATTCTAACAGAACCTATATCACTTGAGGTCTGTGATTGTCCCTTTCCAGCAGAGACACAACTAACCAACTACAGGCAAACAGTGCACAAATGGTAACATTCTACCCATTTGACAATCTAAAACAGAATTTTCCTCAGTGTCACAAATCCTTGTAAGATTCTTGACAGATTCATGAACGCATCGAATAGCAGATGTGGGCTGTTGATTGTGCTGATGAAGGAAGAATTCATCTGTCTCCAAAAAAAAAAAACCAAACAAAAACCCATGACTTGTACAAAACAAATCCTTATTCTCTGGTGTATTGCACAGTTGTCCTCCTTAAGGTCTTACTGACCACCATTATAGGCATAGTCTGCCTTGTTGTGCATGATAAGCTTGTTGTCCACAAAGTAGAAACTGTCTGATCGAGTCTCGTAAGGGTGCTCCACCATTTGGCGAACTGGAAAAAGGAGGAAATAAGAGGCCAGATGAAATGTGGACGGATCAATCAACATTATGTATTATTTAGGCCCGATGGAAATACAATAACAGGACTTACTGAGGTCATCGCTAAGTTGTGGAAACTCGTAAATGTGTTCACATGTGTTACGGCTGTTGGGAATGCAAAAGCCGAAGTCAAAGTCAAAGTTCTTCAGAAGCCGTCCCTGAAAATAATGCCTCTCAATCATACGAAAGTTGTTGATGGGACGATCGCCAACGGTGAACTCCACGCTGATGTTTGGAAACAAGAGAAACACAGATCATGCTTCGTTTGTGCACACATTTCTTCTTAGAATATTGATAACAGTGCTCATGGTTGTGTGAAACAACATTATGGTCACTTACGTTGCACCTACAGTCTGTAGTTTCAGGAACGCTGGTGTAAACTGATATCGGACAAAGCGCCCAGCACTGACGTCAGCATCGCCGCACCCCTCTTCAGCCTCTACAGGACCTGACAGACAAAACCAGTTTAGCTGCAAGGAAATCAAATTATATAGATAGGAGTGATAGTTCTTTTGCGATAATAACAATAGCCGCGCCAATTGAGTCATGCAACTATCATCGGACTACTGAAAGAAATCTTCTCTGCATTTCACATTTTTATCAGTTGAATAAAATTTTAAATAATCAGTAACCTTTTGAAAACTGACTTTTAACGTATTTAGCTTTATTAATCGAATTATATGAAATGCATGCATGTACGCATGCACTGCACCCCCCCCCCCCCCCACACACACACAACTCATGTGTTAATCGGTAGTGGCAATTGACCCATCACTTACCACAGTTGGGAGGTTTGGCAATCTCAAACAGTACTGTGCCAGTCTCTAGATCTCTTATCTTGAAACGGGTGAAGTCGATGCTGTAGATATTATCTTCAGGTTTGCAAAGATAATCTGCAATAGGAAACAAAGTTTGAGTTAAAATTTTGACATCATGAAGTGCTGAGTTTGTCCGGTGCTGTCACACACAACTGTGATCTCGCTCCTGCTAAGTATTGGATAAAGAAATAGCATTATAATGTATGCAGTAGGGTCGCAACTTTTTAAGCGCGCACTCTGATTATGACTGAGGAGAGAAGCAACGCCTTTGTTGTCTGGTGCATGAAAAGACCAAAAACAAAGGGAGACATTTAACATTGGCTGAGGCTCTGATGACAGACCCCATGCTTGGAGCCATAGTGTGAGTACAGTCCAGCAGTGTCACTATGGAATGATGCGTACAGTTCCCGGTGTTTCATTATAAGACTTGGTGCATTTAAATACTTCCATGTTTAGCCATTAAAAAAAAAACGCGTAAATATAAATGTGAAATGTTGAAGCGATTACTACTGGGAAAGATTAAACCCCAACAGTACGGTGCATTTTGACAGCTTTTTTTGCAAAAAAAAATAAAGAAAAAGAAACAGTAAAAACTATGCGCGATAGGATTCAAAACTAATATATGCAGATATAACTGAACATCGTATGTTAAATTCGCATTTCAGGATACGCGGTTGAGATAATTGGTGGATCTTCTTGATGAACTTCCTACCAGCAAAGGTAAAGTTTTGCTTTAAGTTTAGGAATAATAAAATATAAACAATCCGTCGCATTCCCATTATGCACCTGTGAGAAAGCTGACCAGGAGACTCGACGCTTAGCATACAGATTGGTTAGCATATGCCACAAACAATAGTGGTGCCAGACGTCTTGCGATACATTTAGGCCAGTAAAGCTACTGTTCACGTACCCTCCGTGACAGCACGGAGTCCCAGGACGTGATCCGGAGAAATATCCCCTCCGAGCGCCCGAAGTTCATCCTCTGTGACCACGGGCCACTTATCCGTTTGACTGCGCCTCGACTTGAGCTTCTTCAACATCCCTCCAACAGATTTTCGATCCCTGCGGTTCGACTCCGTGCCAGTGTCTGCGTCCGTGTGTCCCTTCCCGACTGTTGGTGCCGCTTTGTTCCGAGAACCATGCATATTAGGCACAGTGGCAGCGGTATGAGGAAAACAAATAGTTGTGCTTTTTATTGAAGAGCGCCTTGGACAGAAGCGTCTGTAATTTCAAGATGGCGTAAAGCGTGTATGGGTGACGGAAAAGTACGACTGCGGTTGGCTAAGAACGGTGTGCCTTGTTGTCATAGTTACCCAATGGGCGTGAGTGATTTGTTGCCCGAGTCCCCCAATTTCACTTCAATGAGTTGCTTCAATTGGTTACACTAAGCCGCAATTCAAACAACACCGCCAAGCGCTTAAAGTAGAACAAAAGTAGCGCACATTCATCTTGAGTACCATTAAAGCCCAGCATGAGGCGCTAACGAAACTGGCAATGCAAGACGATTTGTTGACGGAAGTTTGCGTTCATAGAAGAAGAAATAAGCAACGATGGTGAGAGTTAAGTCAAGGTAAACTGAACTCATTCTCATAATTTACCTATGCTTTTGTCTTTGTGGGTTCGTTTCTAAAAGTGTATTTGTTTGTTCACAGGTATTTACTCTGTGAGATAAACGTGACAGACAGAAACAGTCTTTTGCTCCTGAATGACAAAGCAATCGCCGCGGCGGTCAAAGAAGTGGTGGCCCGCATACACGGCGACTATGGGGCGGCCATGTGCAGCCTGAGATTCTCTGGTATGCTTATTCAATGCTTATTCAAATTAGCCCTGTTTGTGACAAAATGATTTGTTTCAAAACCAATATCACAGGAATCTAGTGTACAAATTTTCATCCGGACATAAATGATTGAATGAACAACGTTTTACACCATTTAAGTAATGATTGACATACTGTGTCAACCAAAAGAAACCTACCTTTATAGTACTGTCATAAGATGTGGGAAAATGTAGAGACAACAAACAGAAACAAGTCTATCAACTTGCATCAATACTTCCTTAAAGGAAGACAAAGATTAGTGGTAAGATTAATTAAAAATGTTTCCATGAAGCGCACAATGTCATCAAAACAATGCATTGGTGATGAATGAGCCGAATTCATAGTTTAATGGCTAATTTTGCCAACAGGTTTTGACCTGCGTGAACACTGAAATATACCTTCAGCTTCAGTTATCTGATCCAAGATTGCACTCACAATGGCAAAATTACACGCAGCAGGTTTCTTCTTCACGTTGCTCTTTTAGCACTCGCCTTCAAAACTAGTGGCCATTTGTTCGTTTTATTATTTAGCAGGGCATGTATGTGTAATGTACGTTATAACCAAGGCAATACCTGTCAAAGTATTCCACCTTATGTGCTTTTCTTTCTATTCTGTAATTTTGCCAACAGTATTATAGCCAGATGATATGTGCTATTGTCTTTTCAGTGAAATACCTGAATACTCAAACAGGAATGGTATTCCTGCGTTTCCCTAAAATGAGCTACAAACTGCTGTGGTCAGCATTACCTTTTATCACCAGTATTGATACCCGTTGGAAGAAAATACCATGTTTTCTGAACTGTCTGCATGTAGGAGGTAAGAAAATAATCATCTTGTGTTTTAGATTCAAAATGTAAAATACACTTCATTAAATGTACATTCAAATTCCTTTTTACACTTCAAAAATATGAAAGATGGCACATTTTGTCATGAACACATTTGTGGCTCATTTGCAATATCCATTGATTCAATTTAATCGTCCCTAAGGAACAATCAGAACGTGTCAGAAATTTCTGATACGTTACAACACACAGCAGCTCCATCGAATGCTCCCGAATTGTCAAAATGAAGGTAAGTCTCACCATCTAAGCTTTGATAAAATTAACATAATAGTAGACCGACATAGCTTATATTTATTTTCAGAGGTGGGCATTTTACAAAATTGTGTGGGTACGTCATTCATCAGCACACTGGGGGAACCCCTGTGTCATTGTCAGTCCATCATTTTTTTCAAGCCGAAGCAAACTGGAATCGCCAGTCCTTCAGTCAGTCCATCATGCCATCTTCACCGCACTTCCGTCATCGCTTCCGTAATTTATTTATTTTTTTCTTCCCCAAGTGTATGAACGGTCATTGTGTTCTGCATTCTGATTCGCTTCTGTAGAACATGTTCTCAGATATAGTTGAAGATGGCATGGCATTTTTTGAAAATAGGAAAATGTTTATACGCGGCCCAGATAAAGCTGAAGAAAATGTATGGACGTTTATATTTTTATCTCTCAAATAAATGTTTTGGCCTGAAAACAAGTTTTGATCTTTGCTTTCATTCTATAATAAAGTACTTACTCTTTTAAATCTACATTTAAATGTTTAAACAAAGAAATGTGAGAAAATGTTAATGGAAGTATGTAAAAAGTATGTTGTGCGGGTTTTATAGCCTTTAAACATATAACAAACTGAAAAAAAACATTCTGTTCATTTTAGACTTGTTTCCTGGTCTATTGCTATAAGAATGCCTTTTGGCCTCAAGTATTTCCGTAATTCAGATAGCACTCCTAACGTTAGATTTCATGTTCTTTGGAGAATGTAAAAACGAAGAGCATTACAGCGTGGAGGATTCAAATAGAGTACAAGCAGCAGAATGTGAAGCTGATGGTAGATTTACTGCAACATCATGGTGGGAAGCTGTGGCTGGCAGAGAATGCTCCCTGAGGATAGAAAGGTGTCCGTGTGTTGAATTCAGGCTAGCAGGGAGCACGATGCAGGCCTGAAGTGTAAGTTTTACATCATTTGTCATCAAAATCGGCGTCCGTCAGTGACGGATTGACAGACCTTCCATCAGTACTAACGGAATGTCCACCTCTGTTGGTTTTTAAATCATGAGTAACAACGCTAATGGATACTAATCATATCCTTCCATGTGCTGAATACATAAACAACAAATATATCTATGCAGTGTATTTGTGAGTTGTCTTTGATCACTCCATTTTTAAGCATCAACTATGTCCTACATATGTCTCCGGGTATATCCCGTGCAATAAATCGGTTAAAAACTGGGATTCCTGACCTTTTATTTTTCCTTTTGAAAACCTTGAATTACAAAATTGTAAAGCCCAAATGTTCACAACCATTGAAATGTTATCTCACAGGAGCCTGTTTTAAGGACTGTCAAAGAAAATTGACATTTTGTTTGTTTCACTCAATTGCAGAAGAAAAGGAAAAGATTCGCAAAGCTATTTTAAGTTGCTCCATAATACAAGGAGCATTTGAAGATGAACGTGATGATAATGAAGATGAACCCTAAACTGACGATGTGGACCCCTCCTCCCCCCACCACCAAACCCCAAGTTTCAATAATTTCCAACCTATTTGTGCTGTATTTTTGTTAAATAAATGGAAAAAAAGTTGATGTGCTTGATGGACGTTTGTTTATTTAATTCTTAGTATCTTTTCATTAAGCTCAACTCCACATTCGGTGAACCTGACCAATACGCCAATAATGAGAAGCAAATTAGATTATTATTATTATTATTATTTTATATATTTATTAATTTTACAGATCTTGTTGTCCCTTTTCTTTGGAAAACATTCTTTAAGAATTTGAAGTGTTTGTGTACATGTACATGGAATGTTTTGCAAGCCATCCAAAATGGACATTGGTTGATGCTGTTGAAGGAGAACCTGGTGCATTTTATACTCTTATAATTAGTGATTCTAAAAAGTGTAGTAAGCATTCTACTAGTGGTACAAAGAAAAAAAAATACATTTTTTTTAAGTGTATACAAACTCAAAAAAACCCCCAAAAACTAAAGACCTGGTTCTTGCTACTAACAATTGTTGTTGACATGTGCTAGTAAGCACAAGCAGGAACTGACTGACGAGTCAACCAGAAAATCGCCTTACAGCCTACAAGTCTTTAAATGTTGCTAAGCATAAAACAATGTTCAAGTATGGAATGAGAGCAGCATAAGGCAGATGCTTAGATTTTTGCAAAAACTCATTTTGACCTTTGCCTTGTTTGTTCAGCTTCAATTCGAGAAATTACATGGCATACATCTTTGTTACCTCCACATTTGGCCCCATAAATAGATGTCCAAGCTTCAATTTAATATATGGCACATTATCATTTATAAGACAGATTATTTGCAACTGCAGGTGTTCAATGACTTTTCTTTTTGTTTAGATACAACTAAGACATCATTTTATACCAAAAATATGATGACTATTAGATTCGCCCATCGCCAAAGCACGGGGAGCATTTCACAAACTTTGTGCAGTTTTAATGTTCAAAGTGACACATTTCCAGTAGTTTACAATAATATACAAATCAGGATGTATTGTATTGTAATAAGTGTACATTAACAACACCTGTTTTTTTTGTTTTGTTTTTTTTAATAAACACTTGGGCTTCCTGCATCTCTGTATTTTAATGTTGGTCATGATGGATGTACTGTACTTGCGCTAGGTGCTACTTGGTGTAAAGGTTTGTGAACTACTGCTCTAGGTAATTCTGAAGGTGTCTGATGGTCTTAAATTAAAGACTTTTCAATGTCTTTTTGAGTTACAGTGTTAAAAAATAGCGACTGTACCAAAGTACTCTGTTGCATTATTATTTTATGTGAAATATTCTGAACAGCACTATATAAATAAAGAGATGTATTGATGCAGGGTTAATCTGGATGATGGATGGATGGATGGATGGATGGATTGATAGATAGAAACAGTTTTCCGCTGAGATGAGATATAAATTAAAACGCATCAATTTCCCCCAATTGTAACGCAATGTTATCGACCAACTAAATAAACTTACGTTTAGAACTTTGAACTTGCACTCAAGACGCCTTCGCACGAACGTTATAAGCAACGGTACTACATACTGTATAGTATAGTATACAGATGAAAAATCATAATTTGTTAACACTGCAATTAAAGACCATGATCGGTAATTTTTCAATCCAATGACGAAGAAAGATAAGCACATTCGTGATTCCAACCGGCTTTGATGCGTAGTAAGACTCGAGGTATTTCGAGTTGGACAAAGACGTACAACTACATTTCCCAAGATGCCCTAAAAGGCCTCGGCGTTTCACTTTTGTTGCAGCGAGAAGAAACATCCGGGTCTCTCAGGACTTTGACTGGCGACCCGTCGCCATTCGTGCAAGCGAATAGAAATATATTTTTGGAGCTAAATATTAACATTGAGACATTCAAACGAATAGGGAGCATTTAGAACATTGGCCTGGCTAACCGTTGGCCTCATCGAGAAGGAGCTTCATTTTTGGGGGTCTTGGCCCCGTGTGGCTAGCCTTCGTCATCTCTTTTCAAAACCTCCATAACTTGAGACGCCAATATCGTGTCTCTTGTTTTTTTTCTCTGGAGTATTTTGTTGTGAAGATGTCGCCGTGATGGGTTCTCCGCGTTTGAACGATATGAATCGGGGCCTTCGCCGCCTGACCCTCACTCATTGCTGCCCAGTTTATTCCTGTCTTTCATTTAATGCTAGTGAGCTCAGCAGCGCTCGGCTCGAAGCTCGGCCTCGTTCACTGCACGGAAACAAACATGGAGAAGAACCCGAGCAGCAGCAACAACACCAAGGTTCCACCTCGTTCCAACTCCTCTGGGCCAACCCCGGGGGAATCTAAACCGAAAACAGGTAAAAACAGCTGTCACTTTTGAAAACGTTAATCTGTTTTGAAAACGACATTTCTTGCTACACGACTGCCTAGAGAGGCCTCGTCGGAGCGCATAGCTATTCCCAACATGGCTGACATCGCTGTGAAAACGTTTGACCTGCTCTGAAAAGTTAATAGCAACATGCTTGTCGCACCCATACGTAGGACCCGGTTTATATATGTAATTTGGTATTCGCGTATTTTGTCACGTGAATGTTAGTTTGAAGCACTTGTTTGCATTCTGGTTGATAAGTCTCAAACGTTTACCCTTTGGTCATAATAAATGAAATCATCATGTAAAGTTCAACAACAGTTTGTTTTTTGCGGCTGGCGTTAGGTTAGGCGAACTGTAACTTATTCTCCATGATATGGATAGGAAAAAAAATGTAGATATTACATTTTCACAAAAAATGCCACACTATGCTATTTGCGTATGTTACTTTGAACACATTTTCATGCATGTTTTAATATTTGACATTTTCAGAAAACAAGAATAATGGGGGCACCAAGCGCTATAGCCGCAAGCGAGAGCCCTCCTTTCCCAAAGCAGAAAACTTCTCGGGTCCGCGTCGCACCAATCCACAGAAAAGCAAGAATTTTGACAAGAGACCCCCCCAGAGAGGCGGAGGAAGGAATTATGGAGTTGCAGGTGGAGGACGACGGGAGGAGGTTGATCTTTTAAGATCATATTTGTATATTTAAAATTTGGTGTATTATATCAGCAGTCCTGTGTAATTGTCATTAACCTCTGCCTTTTCAGGTAGCAGAGACGCGCCGGGCAGAGTTTAGCCCGGCTCAATTTGCTGGACCGAAAAAAATAAGCCTCAACCACCTGTTGAACTTCACCTTTGAACCTCGCGGAGGCAATGGTGCTGTCGGCGATGGCGGCTACTCCTGTTGGGGGCGTCGAAATAAGTGGGGTCATAAGCACAAGCCCTTTAACAAGGAGCTTTTCCTACAGGCCAAGTAAGCAAATGCATGAGGAGTCAAGATCATGTGTTCTCAAACAAGTTTGACAATTACTATGTGCATTGTAGCTGCCAGTTTGTGGTGACTGATGACCAGGACTACAAGGCTCACTTCACTGACCCAGATACCCTCGTCAACTGGGACTGTGTGCAACAAGTGGTTAGTGCCTCCCTATCCAGTGTGGGATTTCTTTTGTCGAAGCCGCAAACATTTAAGGAATATATCTCCTCTATTTTTTTCATAAAGCGAATCTACAGTCATGAGGTCCCATCTTGCCCCATCTGTCTCTACCCACCCGTGGCAGCGCGCATTACGCGCTGCGGACATATCTTCTGCTGGCCTTGCATACTGCACTACCTGTCTTTAAGTGACAAGACTTGGTCGAAGTGTCCAATATGTTATGAAGCTGTTCACACAGTGGATTTGAAGAGGTAATCAAGAAATAATTACAGCTGTCAGGCAACTGAGAGGCTATACAAAATTAGGTCAGAAATTGTCAGTGTTTTTCGCTACACTTATGATTGTAATATGAAAATGATTCTTGTTGCAGTGTGGTTGCTATGGAGACCAAGCAGTATGTGGTTGGTGATGTCATCACCATGCGCCTCATGCGGAGGGAAAAGGGGGCTGTGGTGGCCATGCCAAGCTCTCAGTGGGTGAAAGTGGAGGAGCCTGTACGGTTTGGAGGTAAATTAGCACAGGCATGACTATGGTTTAGTATGTGCTAGCTATTGTGGTGTACTTTACTCACAAAACTACTTGTGTGTAGACAAATTCATGAGACCATTTTTGTAGGTTGATGCGCCCATGACTGCTGGGAAAACAAAAATCAAGAAACAAGATGCCATTCAACAAGTATCTACTTTTGTTCTCCAGATACTTCTTTGAGCCCGTATTCCAAGCTGCTGCTAACCTCCTCCACCCAGGTCCTCAGCCTTGTGGAAGATGAGAAGGCAGTTTTGCAGGCTCAGCTATGCCAGGAAGAGGGAGCACAAGCTTGCTTCATCCAGAGCGCACTTTGCCATTTGCAGGTAAAGGTTTGCGTGCATGTCCTAGTCTTTTTATTATGGCAATGTAATTTTTTTTTTCCAGAAAATTAAGCCAGCATTAAGGATGATCACTCGAGTCCTCTTGATGGGCAAAGCTGACAATCAAGTAATTAAATGTTCAAAAATGTTTAATATTGGACAATTTCTGTTCAGAAATCCGGTTTGATGCCAGTTTTATATTGAACAGAATAAGGCTACATGGAGGAGTTGTGCCAAAATGGAGGCATTATGTGCCATCACAGAGACATTGGTGCACCTTGACTTCCCTGATTTGATGTGGTTCTTAGGACTGAAAAAGTTAAAACTCAATCAATGGCACTTATGCTTCTTAAAGTGAAGTTGTGCAGTCCGTTTTGCACCAGTTTCTTCAACAAAGTCTTTTAAGCCATATTTTTTCCTATAGTGATCATAGTTTTTTTTTCCAGAAAATTAAGCCAGCATTAAGGATGATCACTCGAGTCCTCTTGATGGGCAAAGCTGACAATCAAGTAATTAAATGTTCAAAAATGTTTAATATTGGACAATTTCTGTTCAGAAATCCGGTTTGATGCCAGTTTTATATTGAACAGAATAAGGCTACATGGAGGAGTTGTGCCAAAATGGAGGCATTATGTGCCATCACAGAGACATTGGTGCACCTTGACTTCCCTGATTTGATGTGGTTCTTAGGACTGAAAAAGTTAAAACTCAATCAATGGCACTTATGCTTCTTAAAGTGAAGTTGTGCAGTCCGTTTTGCACCAGTTTCTTCAACAAAGTCTTTTAAGAATATTTTTTTATGCCCATAAAACATTGATGTATATAGTATTTGTCCTCATTATTTAACCCATCACAGGAGTGAGCACAGCAAACACACAGTTAGTGGACCACATTGGAGCCAGGGACTACTTTATTTGAGGTATCATTGACCACAGGTTAGGGGAATGTTGGGAGCGGGTGACCTGAACCGGGACCTTCTTAACCACTAGTCAGTGGCTACCAACAAAGAATCAGTCACCCAATATTGGGGTTCCAACCCAAAGCCTTAAGGTAGCTACTGACTTGAGTTAACTGGGTTCATTCAAGAAAGCATAAAAAGTTGCTGATGTCCACAGCTGGAATCGGGGGACATGTAATCTGGGAGATGGTTCATCTGCAACACCTGTCAGTGCGAGCACTTCACCACGCAAACAAAAGCGCTACTCTCGGAACTGTTATTTAGACGTGTCCATATATAACTTTTTCACTTGGGATACAATGCAGATATTGCAGCCTAGAGTACTGTCCAGTACCGATACCAATCTGATAGTATGTTAGCAGAGCTGATGCATGTGTTTATTTTTTTGTGTGAAATGTCCAGGGACTTGATCACGTGATACTGTTCAAAGAACAATAGTCAGCAACAGTAGCTATGAGAAAATAAGAACCATTTGCGCCAAACATTTGGGTTACATAAATTCAACCTCAAATATGAGCATAGGAGAATGTACTGCATTTTAATAAAATAAAGGACGCTGAGAAATAACTGTAATAAAATCAGCAACAAATAATACTCTTTAAGTGCAAAATAAAAATTCAAGTTTACATCAGTACATCCAGAATCACGTTTTTATGTTCACACTGCTGGATAGAAGAACAGAGTCTGTAATGGACTGCTTTTATATGAGTGCTAATATTCGAGAGTTTGGCTGTAGACAGATATAATCCAATAGTGTTTTTTGGGTGGGGCTGATAGCGGACCGATATCAATATCGGATCTGGACAACCCTACTATTATGACGATCCCTAGCCATTTCTGGTTGCAAAGTAATCAGAAATGGCTCCCATTGTTTCTATGTGATTCAGGAGCAAGAAGAAATGTTGCTGAAACAGCAGACGGGTACAGACAACAGCTTTGATTCATCCTCTCTGGCTGTTGTCCTACCTGCTTCCCCTGTAGATGAAGTGGTAACCATTAACAGCTCTTTCAAGGTATAATTGGAGGAAAATTGCCATTTGTTTTTCTAGTGTATCCCTCCTGGCTTAAGTCACAGTCACAATTAACACACATGCTCTTTAGCCTGTGCTGCAGTACTCTTCTGCTTTTGATGATGAGGTGGCACAAGTCCTAGCGGCAGAAGGGTTACACGTGTCTCCTGAAGATACTTTGGAAAGTGTCGTTGAAGAGCCTACTGATGTTTTGGATCCAGCCCAACACCACATCTATGACGAAGAAACCCCTGCCAAAGAGTCTGAACAAAGTCACACTCAAACCAGCCAGGTGCACGGACCCTTCTATTATTTCTACCAAGGTTGGTGATTTCCAGTTCTTTTGTCAAAGCCATAATTGTGATATTGACTTTAATTTGACTTGTCCCATTTGTTGCTTAGTAAGGTGCAAACTTCATATTTTCCTTTTTGTCAGCAAAAACAATAAGATGAATACTTGGTACTGACATACCTTATGCATAACTATTTCCCCTTTAGCTGAGGACTGCCAGCAGATGTTCTTGCATCCTGTAAATGTACGTTGTCTGTTGAGGGAATACGGTAGCTTGGAGGCCAGCCCAGACTCCATTACTGCCACAGTGGTGGAGATCGAGGGACACACTGTCACTGAGGTCAGCAAAGCTCAAGCAAATTGTTCAGTTTGATTTCTTAATATTACATAGGTGATATATTGGCCACGAATATGTCAACATTACACATCACATTTAAGATGAACTAAGTATGGAAAGCCTTGTCAAGCTGAGTTCAACTGCGTCTCCAACTCTTTATTACAATACTTAAAAAAAAAAAAAAAAAACCTGCGTACACTGCTGATTCAGCAGCTCCTACTGTCAGTCACTTGTAAATGAAAATGCTAAATCAGTTTGGAAAATTATTGTCTTTAAAATGTTTCAAGTTTTTACCTTTCTCACAGGATATCCGCCGTCGACATCGTTACCTGTCACATCTGCCACTCACATGCGAGTTCAGCATTTGTGAGCTATCCTTGCAGCCACCAATCTTGTCCAAGGAAACCATGGATACATTTGCAGGTTTGTATTTCCTTTTTAAGCTACATGATGCACCTGACACAATTTTTTTTTCCTCTTCCACCTAAATGGCAAAATTCTGAAATGTCATCACGGTATAAAAATCAATTGCATATACTCAGATCAGAATTAGCTTTCTTAATGTTCTTTTGAATCGTAAACAAATCTGATGCGCATTGAATACTGTTCATTGTGACTGCAGCATGAATGGGCAAATAGACTGTAGAGTGGATATTAATTCTACACACTCCTGTTCAAATGCTAGTTTATTGTGACGTAAATAAAAGGAGACCAAGAAAAAAAACATTTAAACTTTTTTTTTTAAACTGGCAACCAAGCACAACACTTCTCGTGCCCCGTTGTTCGTATTGCGACCATGTTGATCCCCTCCTTCTCTTCAGTGTGGTTCACTGGGATGTCGAACGTGAGCGGCACCTCGTCATTGTTTGTGATGTGGTTGGGCTGGATGTGTTTGTCGGCGATCCTTTTACTACAGTAGGAGCGGAAGATGGCCAGCTTTTCCTTGTACAGTAATCCGCTGGATGTTGCTACGCCACGGTAGTCCTTGCCCGAAGGGATAGATGGCGCCATTTCATAAAATGAAAACGCCAAGCACCATGGATTCGATGATCTTGAATTCTCTCACGGCTGCTGGATTCCTATGGTCTTCTGCATAACTAATATCTTGCAGTTTAAACTGCGCTTAGTAGCGTGTCTCTTTGTAAGTACAAGTTTCGGGGGTCATTCGCCAAACTGATGTTGTTTGCACAATGCACTTACCGGCACTATATACACCTACTGGGGGCCTACCTTTTAATGTCCTATTTCACGCCCACCCTTCGCCCTTTAACGTTCGCGTGCTGTCCTCGGTCACATTTGCCTTTCCTCAATATAAGCAGTGTGTCGGCACAATCAGTCAAGTGGAGCGCTCATCACACAGCATCATTCATAGATTTTGGAACTCGGTGCATACATAAAGCACCCCATCCCTTTTTAAGAAAATGTAAGACTTAAATGCGCCTGATGCTCGTGAAAATGCAGTAAACAGAGACAGCTAGATATAGATAATTATTTTTAATAATGTGTACTTCACATGTGGCACTCAATTGAAATTGGGCATGAGTTGCACAGGAGTTAAATTGTGCTTAATTTTTGACTGACTGAATTTTCATACAAACTTGAAGATGAATTGGAGAAAAGAAAGCGCCTGAGACAGAAGAAAGCGAGAGATGAGAAGCGCAGAGAGAAGCGAATTGAAATTGAAGAAAACAAAAAGCAGGGTAAATGTAAGTATACACGTTGCTTTGAAAATCTTCTCCTGCAGGTCTTAGTAGGTACATTAATTTGTACTCCTGGTTTCCCCCTTAGATCCCGAGATGCATATTGGGCTAGAGAACCTTCAACATTTCCCAGCATTCGGATCACCACCTCCCACCAGCAGCACTCTGGTCCATCCTGATTTTACTTTGCTTCCTCCATCTCCCCTCAGCAGCAGCCCTTCCTCTGGTAAGCCCCACCATCTTATTTCTTATTCTGGTTCTCTCGCTGCACTCAGCAGCTGTTTGTTAAATATGTGAATATTTAGGCCCAACGTTCTTTTTCAAACTGGAGATAAAACAGGATAAGTATTCATTTCATTTTTATTTTAGAAACCAAAAATGTCACATTTTGTCAATCAAATGAAATATAAACATAGAGAAGGGAGTGCAACAAGTTTTATTTTGAACACAAAAAAATAAAAGAAATAGTACATAGGCTTATTGTGTACTATTTGCACATTTGAACTTAAAAGAAAAAAAAAGATCTTGATCATGGAGATGAGTCAAAAAGATTTGAAGTGTTGCCTTTTGTAGTGACTTTGTTTCTGCAATGTATGGATACGGGATGATAATATTCTGTGAAATTAATTTTTTGTCTGTAGTCTTAAAATATGCAAATATGGTGCCACTTTTGTCCTGGTCTTTTCCGATGAAAAAATATCCCTATCGTCTATGTTTTGTTACACTGCATCGTATGGGTCTTCTGCTTTGTTTCTAAATTGTATGTTCCTATACGATTCATTTCATTCTGTTTCATCATTACTGTTCTCAGAGCTAACTACGGTGGAGACAATAATTGCTAATACTAATCCTTTTAAATTTTTAATCATGATTTATTCCTGAGCAATTTCATTGCAATTTCAAAACTTAGTACTTCTCTCTCCCATCCAATCTCATTTGCTCAGTGTCAAAGTGATTCCTAAGACACCAAACTACTTCTTTTTTTTTTTTTTTTTTTTGTATTGCAGATGGGATGATGTTTCCAAGTCTGAATGGACAAAGCTCTCCTATTGTGGGAAGTGTGGAGGATGACTCTCACTGCATGTCTTTTGCACAGGTGTGTGTTAGTCACAAAGATAAACTTAAGAACGCTTATTTGAGTTGTTATGGTTGTTGCACATATCAACATAAAACCGTTAGAAAGTTCCCCATCATAATTTATGGACACAATGGCTCATAGTCATTGTCACAATAATGTTAAAAAAGTTGACGTTTTTACAGATGCATGCACTTCAAGCATCACATCTTAAATTTTAGAAATGAAAAATGTGTCGGCAGCCAGGTGTAGTTTTTTTACACACCAGAAACTGAAAACGGCAATAACGTAAATGAGATTTCTTGCATATAAAACACCATGAAATTTAAAGACTATAATGACCTAAAATATTTTGTTTCCCTACATTTTCCCCTCTGAATTCTCTGGATACAGGGTATTTAGAGTAAAACCCCCTCCATCGCAGGGGTTATGTGCCAGACCATCCCACGAAAAGAAAGTCCGCAGTAGACAAATACCCGATTAAAGTACTCATAGGCGTGTTTTAATTAGCATTTATGGCACTTGAAACACACTTTCAAGTAACTCTGCCATAGTTGACTTTTGTGGGTTAAAAAAAAAAATCACTCTTATGTAGCACTGTAGTGTATATTGCTTTTGAATCCACTTTCATCAGTTTTCCATGTGTGCAATTTTTCTATGGTTTGCTGTACCAATTGGCAAAAGCCAAAAGATAGCCCTAACTTCCAGAAACACAATATGCAGTGATTGATAAAAATTTGAGACTGTTTCATTCCTGTGCACACATCGTGTGACCCTTCCTGTATCCATATAGATGCTGAGAGATGGGAAAGCCAGAATTGATGGGCCTCGAATCACCACAAAGAAAGGTATTTAATTGCAAACAGTACATTTAATGTGACATTTTAATTGGAAAATGCAATTGAGCGTTACTTGCTGTGAAACCTGCTACTTACTCAAATTGTTACTATCATAAAAGTAGTGTAACCTAACCATAAATTGCAGCCTCTTCACGGTCTCAACAAGCAGCTTGTTATATGATCATTTGCTGAGCTGACGCGATTGTAAGAACTACAAATGATTAGATTTGTACAGTCACAGATGACCTTGTCAGTGCAACTGTGCTTGGTTGATGAGCTACAATAACTTGACTGATGGTGGGTGTGTTTGTGGGGTGAAATAATAGTTTTGTTGTATTGTATTTCACTTCCTGTAAAACCTGTTTTGTGACTATTGAAGATTGTGACTTCTCAATGCTCCTGACTGTCGAGCAGAAAAGCTGTTAGCTCCGCCTGCAGCAGACAGCGATGGTGAGAGTGACGCGTCAGACCGTGCTCCCGTACCCAACTTTCAGAACTCTTTCAGCCAAGCATTTGAGAAGGCACTCCTACAGCTAGACAGTCCAGCATCTTCTCCACAAACCTTGGTTGTCTCAGGTGCGTCATCTGATATTTTCCAAAGGATCAAACAGCCATTTTTATGTAACTTTATAACACAATTCATTTCTTTTTTTCCCTCCAGATGAGAAGGGAGGCAAGAAGAAAAAGAAAAAACAAAAACTTCTCTTCAGCACATCCATGGTTCACACAAAGTAGACAACACTGAAATAAATGTCATGATTTGGTTTCTTGGATAACTGCTTAGCTTCCTTTCAAACCTCTCTGGGAGTTCCAAGATTTTGCAAAGGATTGCAAAATGTTCTCAAATGTTAGACCCTGTCAGTCATTGTGTTGACTCTGGCTGTTTTTCAGTTCACCCTTTTATTTTCATTTAGTGCAAATTCCTCTTGGGGCTGTTTGCTGGAAGTAAGACTATTTTACTAACATTGGATAAGATTCATTTTAGGTGCTTTATATGATGAGTAGCAGTCAGCCAGCTGCAGGTACATTGCACCTTTGAAATCTTTCCAGGATTCTCAGTGCTCAGATATACCAGGACTTGTATTCCTATCAAACCGACGAAAGATTTCCTTTTGAAGTACATTTGAGTTGAAAAGTATTGCTTTAGTATTTTGTGGCAATTTGAATACACAACTAATGTATGCAATGACAACAGTATTGCAATAAAGAGATAAGAGCTTACAGTTAAACAAACTCCATCATATTCTTTCCGAGTAAATTATAATCAAAGCACTTAATTTCGTCTTGTTTATTGACTTTTGGTCGCAATATAAATTTAGCTGCAGTTGTGTGAAGCTGGAGAATTTGTGCTGTTTTAAGGATGCTTTTCACTTGAATAATGAGAATTTGTTTGAGGGTTCCTGAATTAACATTTAATTTTGAGCAAACGCCTAGGAAGTTATAAAACGAATAAATGAATTATGCCCAATCAAACAAGTGACTATTTTGTGAAGGCCAAAGAATCAAGAAATGTGTTTTGACTTTGTCTGCTCCTGCTGGTCTCACATAAGCAAGTAAGCAATGAAGCATCCACCTAGAGTGCAAGTCAAGTAAACCATTTCATTTTCTGTTTTTATCATGCATATAATTTCTAAAAACAACAGTCAAATTGGGGGTCACTCGATGTATTTAAAAGATTGCATCCCCCCCAAAAATGTGTGTATATCTCCAGCAGTAAGGGCACTTTTCTCATCCAGATCCAAAAGACGTGTGTTTGTGTGAGTGTGTTCGTCGGGGCGGGGGGCGTGGGCACCTGTGCGCGTGCATTGTACAGTAGTACAGTTTCCTGTCAGTAATTTAACATTTTACGTCACGTGAATCAGAATCATCTTTATTGGCCAAGTATGTAGAACACACAAGGAATTTGTCTCCGGTAGTACAGGCTATACCAGTATCATCATAAACAAGGACATGACAAAAAAAAGTATGGAAAGACATTCCGTAATGTAAGGGTACCGTTGTGCGGCGGTACCACCCAATGACAGTTGTGACACAATGTTCAAAGTATCAAGCAGAGCAAAAGTGATCAGAGGTAGAATAAAATACTATTAGCAGTTGGTGCAGATAATCATTGCACCAGTAGCAGTATTTGTAGAGCAAGTTTAAGTGTGCAATTGTACAGATGTCCTTGAGCGCTTTAAAGTGTCTGGTGCTGTGGAATATAGATCAGTGACAATGGTTCAAGTAAGTACAGAGCTGGAGCTACAATGATTATAGCGCTAATGCTGTTCCACAGGGTTGTGCAAAGTCGCTATATGAGAGGAAGTGCAATCCATCCATTTTCGGAACCGCTTCAGAAAAGTCGCCAAATTCCGCGTTCTTACGCATTGTTCCGCTAAAAACTTTATTTTGAAATTACTAACCGGAAACATTTTATAATGTAATTTCGCTCTCCGGCCGGTCAAATCGTTAAGCGCTGTGTGGTCCTGCCTGTCAACAACACCGCAACCTGAGAGGATTGCAGCCTCTTGGCTAGCAAAGTGTACCTGCGAAGTTGCTAAAAACCTCCATTGTTACAATTCGAAGTTATACTCCTAATTTCTGCTTCCTACAACCATGTAGCCCGTTTGTAAAGACATTTAAACACAGCAAGATGAAGAACGGAGTTTTTAGGTAAGTTCCGTGTGTTTCGCATCAAACAGAAAGACAGGTTCAGTCAGTGTTTCCATTTTGATAAGTTGGCTTCTCTTGAGTTAGCCTTCACTTCCTCGATCTGCGTTTAATTGGCCACGTAATCCAAACTTTATTTTTTTACATGTCGTATAGTGCTTTCTAAACGTGTTCATATCTGCGTACTTTAATGGTCTTTACTTTGGAGCAGGCCAGCACAGACTTGCTAATCTGCAGCGGGCGTTGGGGGCTGTACTAGCTCATACGGGGAGATTTAGTACTGGATGCACATTTTCAACATGTAAACACTAAAAGTATCAACTTCAAATACTAGTTACTGAAGTTGGACTCGACGTGATTGTGTTTTCATTCGTGATAGTCATTTGAGACGTTCAGGTGTGAGGTTGGTAATAAGGCGTTCCAACAATAAAGTTGTACTTTATAGCTGATACAGTAATAACATAATGAATCACGTTTGGTTATTGTGTGTGTGTGTGTGTGTGTGTGTGTGTGTGTGTGTGAGTGTAAACACACACTCACACACACACACACACACACATATATATATATATATATATGTGTGTGTGTGTATACTGTATATACCTGTATATATTTTTTGGGGTGGGGTGGACTTATGTAATGTGTTGGGGAATACGACACTCCTAACCTATGTGCTCCTTGGATAGCTGGGAAGATGTATGATTTCTGATTATTGCAGTTTTAAAGCTAAATTATTTTGAAAAAACACATAGTTTGCTATAAAACAAATCAGTGGCTACTAGTTAATAGACCCATACATTTGCTTTCTACTGTGGCTGAAGTGTTGTAAATTAGTTGATTCATGACGACAAGAAAGTGGCTCAGAGTTCATCAGCATTCAGAAATTATAGAGTAGTTGTGAAAGGGATAACAGATGCGCAGTGCTTGCAAATACAGAATGAGCATTTGGTTAATTACTTTTTTCATGTACTCAACTCAACTGTGTTTGTAGAGCACTTAAAAACAACCACGGCTGTATACAAAGTGCTGTACATGGAGCAAATATCATATATCCAACAATAAACACTAAAACAATAAATAATAACAAGACAGTAAAAAGCGCAAAAACAGTACAACTAAAAATCAAGTCTGAGTCATGCTGAGTCAAAAGCCAAAGAATAGAACTGAGTTGTATGTAGGTATGTCGTTGTTTGTCAGGATGAGTGCTCAAAGGTGTGGGTGTGACTTATTGTTCAAGTAAGTCTTTGTAAATACTAATGGGTTTCTATGAAGGTGCGCGAAGATCAAGAGATATTGTCAAATTAAAGTAATTTAGTGGTTCTGCTGTGATTTATATGCCATAGCCTGAAGAACGGCAGTCGTCAGGTGTTTGTAGACTGATAAAATCTTTGGGTTTCTTATGCTGTTTCAACACCTTCCTGCCGTGTGATATGACATCACTGTTGGCTTACAACACAAGTCAATGTCGTCAGCACACGGGTGACGTCTGCTTAGGTAGATTGTTTTTGTATTGATTTCCTGCCGATTTGTAAATTATCTGTTTTTCCACCAGGAGAGCAACATTTATAATGTTTTTTTTGCACACAGAAACATATGGAGTACATTAACCCATTCAAAGAGGATTGAGTACTTTTAAATGTCAACCAGGGATAGGCTTGTCTCCAGTCAAAGTAATGAATGGAGTGGATTACTGTATTTGAGTCTGTATCTCCATCAAGAATTTGGATGGGCAAAAAAGTAAAAATAGGCCACTCTTGTCAGGAATAGCTAATTTGCAAGATCCATCCATCCGTTTTCTATGCCACTTCACTGGGCTCGGGACTCATGGGTGAGCTGGAGCAAGTTTGGCGTACAACCTGGACTGGTCACATATAGACAGACAATCATCCACACCTGTCGCGAATTTGAACCCAAAGATGAAATGATTAAAGCATTAATTGTAGTGCATATAAATAACTTTTTTTTTCCGGTGGTTCTTCATCAATTTTTACATGCCCCATCCTATTTTACGGCTGCTTTGTAAACATTTACACATTTATTGATTAATATATGATAATATTTTCAAATGCACTGTGAAATGTCAGTAAAAAGTCATCATTGAAAAACACAGTTATTCATAAAAATATTTTGTTGCTGTGAGAAATATCAGAATGTAGAAAGTTATGATCAGTTTATGATTATCAGCACTCAGTTGTGTACACCTGCGCTTTATTGCTCTGGAGTGATTTATTTCCTTGAGCAAATTGAGCATTTTTCTGCTTCCACTTAAGGCACTCCCCACACAAAGTCCACAGTAGTGACCAGATAAAAAAAATTGTGATGCTTTTATGTTGTAACATGACAAGTGGGCATCATCTTTGGAATTTTCCCAAAAATAAATAAATAAACCATGGAATGAGCACTTCAAACACCCCTAAAATATTTCATAACAAATACATTGAAGAAAAACAATTTATTACTCAAGTGAAGCATCACAATAATTTTGCTGAGTCCACTTGGTGGACCGAACGGAATTTCAGCCCCCATGAGCTTTTTGGTGAATGTTTTTAACTGAAACTTTTCAGACAGTCGGAGAAGGCGTTCCCTCAGTAAAAAAGGGAGGGAAATGGTTGAGGAGATATGTTGTGACAAAATTAAATTATACAGTTTTATTCTTGAAAGCGTTTTTTTTTTTTTAACCACATTTTTCTGGAGGCGATATCACCCACAAACGTTCCACAAAAAGGCATTTTTTTTCTCCACACAAAATACTCAAATTTCTCTCGAACCCATCATCTCATTTTCAAAATTCTCAGTGTGTTGTACTCAGTTTGTAGTAGCCATTCCAACCTGAGTCAGCATCTTGACAGACTGTCATTTGGGGAAATCTTGTCATGTTGTTATTTTGTTGTACCATTTTCCTGGGCCACTGAGAACAATGTTTGTGTTTATAGGTGCTGTTAGAGGATGGCTGCACAGGTGAAGGTACAAAGTGGGGAGGTTGGGAGGACAATGACAGGAGGAAAACCTCACTTGAGTCCCCTGACTGACTCAAGCAACACAAGCCCGTCAATCACGCAGTCGCATATCATCACTCCTGAACCCAAAAAACCTGTCCCTGCCCCCAAACCACGGCTGACTCCAAAACCATTTGCTGTGGAGAAAAAAAACACTATCAAGCCTATACTTGCACCAAAGCCTCAAACCAAACCCAGACCAGAATCCACTAACAACACTGGACACGCACCAGAGTTTCCCAACAGTTCAGAACCGGAGCAATCAGTTGCCATTGTTAAGCCAAGCCCTGTGTCAACTAGTTCCAGTCGTCCCACCTCAACCTCATTTAGAACATCCAGTAAGGTGAATAATGGGAAAACAACCAATCCTGTTGCCCATCCGTTTAAACCAGCCCCTCCTTTTGACTCCGTGGACACCAACAAAAAAATGCCTCCATTACCAGCAGAAAGGCAGAAACCTAAGAACCAGATGACACCCATGCAGGGTAGAGCATCCATTGCTAGAGCCAAGTCATTGGGGTTTCTTAATCTGGATGAAAAAGAAGATGAACAAAATAATTCTGTGACAGTTGTCCCACCCCAACCTCAACCCCGGAGTTCCAGGCCCAGGCCTGTATCAGCTGTTTTTCTCAACAATCCAGAGACACCAGTTCCTCCTCCACGCTTGGCTAGTGGAAAACGTCTTTCATCTGATCTCACATCCAAGTTTGAGTCTATTGGTCTGTCATTGCACCGTAAAGCGACCAAAGCCAATGAGAAGGAAAGCACTCCAAAAGAAACAGCATTTCCACAAAAGACACAACAGGAGAAAATCAGTGCCTCGGAACAGAAGACTAGTACAGACGTTAAACAATCACCCCCAGACAACCAGGGGAATGACAATTCAGAAAAAATACGTGCACAGGAGACTGAGGATCAGCGAGGGGTTAGCATCAAGTCACGAATTAATCTCCTCCTTGATTCCGCCTCCGCGTCTGAGACGGTGGCTTCTGGCCAAAAATTGGATATTCTCGCTCCGGAGTTGACAGTCCCTGAAAGTGAGCCGCAAGTGGGGGTTAAACAGCTCATCAGGCAGCTAACAGAGGATATAACTTCAAATCAGAGTCCCGTCATGAAACCTGCGCTGAAGCCTCGCCACCTGGCCACTGATCTCACTAAAAAGTAAGATCTGCCTGCCACCAATGCATTAGTGTGATGCATGTTTGTTCATGAGTTCCATTGTCATGCATGTTTTATTTTATTTTTTGTGGTCGGATATGTCTTTTCCAGGTTTTCTTCCGAGAGGTTGTCTGACTTTGGCCATGTTTCACCCGGTGAAACTGCAGAATGTCATGAGATCAGCAAAGATCCACAAAGGAGGGTAAGAGATGCACACATTTTTGCAAAGGTTTGTCTTGGGCTTTGTCAGTGATTTGCTGTTAAAGCAGAGGATAACATTCCCAGTAGAAATGAGCAATTGGGCCTTGATGACATATAAAAGAAGATGTGATATCAGTATTTGCGGTTTCCCTCAGACATGGACATGAATACCATTGCATATTTTAATAATTGAAGAGCTCTTTTCAAAATGCAGTAAATGCCAAGTAACAATAAAAATGATATTGCCATGCCACCCTAATGTATTAAGACTCTTACTATCAATGCAATGTACTGTATCTGCTCAAGGTGCATCAAACTGCAGTTCAATTCCAAATTGTAATCAGCGCTATACTTGTTTTTAGACAGAATGTGGTGTCACCATTTTGACAAATCAGCGTTCAAGCAGCAGTGTACTGTCGAACATAGTGGTGCTCTAAATTGCAAAGCCAAATTTCATTTGGCTTTGTAAAACACATTTTTTAAATTACAAATACTGTTGACAGTTGTGGCGAACAAATGACATTTTCACCAGGCTGCAGATGACATACGTTGAAAAGAACCAAAAGTTTCTCAAAGAATTGGCTTTCAGGTGGTGGATCAATTCCAGCATATTCCTTAATTAATGTTTGCATTACAGTATACTTGTGATACTTTTTTTTTTTTTTAGATTGAACCGGTCAACTCCAGTGGCAAGATGGCTGTGGAGTTCCAAGATGACCTCAAAAATATCAGCTCAATGACAGAAATTCCAGAGAGAGAACACATATCAATTGCCACCAACAATGAAAGTGTTGAAATGCAGACAGTGCGAGCATCCTTATTTGATAATATAGTGGAGACAGCCAGTGTTGGCGCTGATTTACTCAGTAATCCATCTTTGCCAGGAGGAAACAATAAGGATGAAGTAACACTAGTGACTGCCATTTATAAAGATTGTGTATCTCCACCTCCTCTAAGAGTAAACCACACCATGGACACAGTGCAAGCAGTGGGAGAGAGCAGAGCAGTGAGTGAGAGCATTCCATCTGCTCAGTGGGAAGATAAAGCTTTGACCTTACGCTCCAGACGCTCAGAAGGAAACAGAGCGATGATCGAGACAACGGGTTTAATACAAGGAGAACCAGCTTCAACAATGGCAATGGAGCAACAGCCTCGATACTTGCGAATAGGATCCTTGCACAAATGGCCAACGACGGATGTTGCTCAAGAGCCCGATTTGGAGAATGTTACGCTAAAGCAATCACAAAGGGGAATAGACCTGGATTTGAATAAGGACAAAGACAGACAGAGAGAAGCAGATCATGAGGAAATAGCTGCAGCTCCGAAACGCATGAAAACACTGCAGACAGCTGAAAAGCCAAAACCTAAGGCAACCTATTTTGCTTTGACCGGACAAATACAGGAGTCGGATCCTGGATCAGACATTATAGAGTCAGCAGTGCCTTATGATGATATTGGTTCTGGACAGGTAAGCTCTCCAGATACAGTAGCTGCTATTAAGAGGAATCTGTCATTAGATGCAACTTTGGGAAAAAATTCTCAAGAGAAATATGAGGACGTAAAGAGGACAAGCCACATTTCAGCCAGACAGGTGGTATCTGCACTGGATGCGCCAACAGCAGAGAAAATGACAGATGTGAAAACAGAGCAAACAAAGGAGGATGGAAGGCAAAATGCCAAAATGAAAGTTATTGATATGGACAAACGGAGACAAATGGAAATGGAAAGACAAGCCATTTTACAGTTTTCACAGATGAAAGAAAGGGAGATGCAAAGAGAATTTGAAAGACGTAAGGCATTTGAAAGGGAGAAACAAAAACAGACAGAGCTTCAAAACCAGAATCCCCAAGAATTAGAGTATGAAAATATGAAAGAAATGGAAAAGCAAAGGCAGTTGCCGTTCACAAAAGAAAGGGCAAATCAGCAAGAACAGGAGATGCAGAGGAGGCAGGAAGTGGAGAGGCAAAGAGAGCTAGAGAGACAGAGAGAGTTAGAAAAGCAGAGACAGGAAGAAATGCATAGGCAGAAGGAACAAGAAAAGGAAAGACAACAAAAACTGCAAAGGCAGCGAGCGCAGGAACTGGCGAGGCACCAAGCACTGATGAGGCAAAAAGCTCAGGAAATTGAAAGGCAGCTGGAACTGATGAAGATGGAGCAGGAAAAAGAGAAACACAGAGAATTTGAGAGGCACCAAGAGCAGATGAGGCTGAAGGAACAGGAAAAGGAAAGACAGGAAGAATTGAGGAGACAAAAGGAGCAGCAGAAAGAACTAGAGAGGCAACGTGAGTTGGAGAGACAGCATGAACTGATGAGATTGAGGGAGCAGGAAAGGGAGAGACAGCGACAATTAGAGAGACAGAAAGAGCTGATGAGGCTGAGAGAGCAGGAAGAGGAGCGACGGCGAGAAGTTCAGAGAGAGCAGGAACGGATGAGGCTGAGGGAGCAGGAAGAGGAGAGGTTGAAAGAACAGATGAGACTGAGAGAGCAGGAAATGGAGAGACTGCGAGAACAGGAGAAGCAGCAAGAACAACTGAGGCAAAGAGAGCAAGAAATTGAGAGACAGCGAGAAGTTGAAATACAACACTCACAGATGAAGCTGAGAGAGCAAGAAAAAGAGAAACAGCAAGATCAGGCGAGGCTGAGAGAGGAGGAAATGGAGAGACTGCGAGAACTTGGGAGACAAAAAGAACAACCGAAGCAAAACGAGCAAAAAATGGAAAGACAGCAAGATCTCGAGCGACAACAAGAACAGGGGAGACTGAGGGAGCAGGAACTGGAGAGACGGCGAGAACTTAAGAGGCAGCAAGAACGACTGAGACAAAGGGAACAAGAATTAGAAAAACAAGAGCTTAAACAACAGCAAGAAGATGTGAGACTGAGGGAGGAGGAAATGGAGAGACTGCATAAAATTGAGAAGCAGCCTAGGGAGCAAGATATGGAGAGACAGCAAGAACTCGAACATCAGCAAGAAAAGGTGAGGCTGAGGGAAAAGGAAATGGAGAGACGACGAGAACTTAAGAGGCAGCAAGAACGATTGAGGCTGAGGCAGCAAGAGATGGAGAGACAACAAGAACTTGAGAGGGAGCAAGAACAACTGAGGCAGAGGGAGAAAGAAACGGAGAGACGAGAACTTGCACGACAGCAGGAAAAAGTGAGGTTGAAGGAGCAGGAAATGGAGAGACAGCGAGAGTTTGAGCGGCGTCAAGAACAAGTGAAGCATAGAGAACTAGAAAGGGAGAGACTGCAAGCACTCGAGCCGCAGCAAGAACAGGTGAGGCTGAGGGAGCAGGAAAAAGAGCGACAGCGGGGATTTCAAAAGCAGCAAGAACTGGATCAAGAGAGGCAGCGTGAATGGGAAAGACAAAGACAGAAAGAGGAAGAGAGACAGACAGAGCTGGACAAGGAGACACTTCTTTTGGAAATGCAAAGGAATAGGCGAATGGAGGAACTGGAGAGAGTTAAAGAGAAAGAAGAAGGAAAGCTCTTTGACCAAAAACAGAAGGAGAAAGAAAATAAGAGATATCTTTTTGAGCTTGAAAAGCAGTGGTACAGAGGCAAGGCTGAGAAAACTACATTGTCATTAGAACAAGAAATGCAAAGAAAGAAAGGGATTGATAAAGAAAGGGAACAACTAAGACAACTGGAGAGGGAGCATGAGGAAGAGACTGAGAGAGAACATTTTAAAGAGCTGGACAGACTGAGAGACTTGCAAAGGGAAAAACAACTCCACGCCGAGAAACAGAACCAAAGGTTAATACAACAGGCCTCGCAGAATGAAAGGCTTAGATGGGAGGCAGAGAGAGAGAAAATGGAGAAGGCTGAGGCAGAGAAAATGCGACAGATTGCCAGACTTCAAGAAGCAGAGCGACAAAGACTCAAGGACAAACAAAGGAAAGAGGAACAGGAGAGAATGAGGCTCGATCAATCGCCTTTGAGGCCCAAAGTGGTGGATGTGGATTCTTTGCTCAGAACTGCCACCTCTCAACACATCGACCCTGCACGAAGATGGAAGGAGCCCTCTTCCAGAGCTGAAGTGCCCTACAAGCCTTCCATTCTTGATGTGGACTCTTTCACGTCTCAATCTCAGTCATCATCAAATCAAGATATACCGACTGCTTCCAGTATTCAAGAAGTGGACTCCAACTTTGGGAGTATATTGCGGCCTGCACCTGAAAGAGATATTACATGGAAGATGCCGCCACAGAATTCTCTTGATTCAGCAAGTCCAGTTTGGACAATATCTCCCCATGACCCTCGTCATCTGCAGCCAACTGACATGTCTCACAGTAAACCTCTTCATGAGCCAAGAAAACACACAACCAAAGTCAGCCCAGAACGACCGCTTGTCAGGCAGGACGAACATTCCCTGGCCCCACAGAACCATTGGCGCCGCAGGCAAGGTGAGCTGCTTGACTTGGACCCTTTTTTCCAAAGAGAGGCAACAACTGGCGTTCCCAGCAGTGCTCCTGTTGATCAGGTCTGGTTACCTAGACAACTAAAATCCAGAGACAACCAGGAAGAGGTCTGGCACCGTAGGAGATCCCAAGGATCCCAGGTAAATTGGAGAGATCTGTCAAATATTTATTCGAATGGAGATAATGTTGGCATTTGTCAAATGTTTTGTGCATTGTTCCTATTAATGCTTTTAAAACGTTTGTATGCTGTGAATGAAACTTTTGACGTGGCCATGTTTTACATCCACCACATTTTACTACACACAGAGGGCGCTTCTCCATTACAGGTTCCAGAACACCCTGGCCCCGCTCTGCCCCGCCCTAGCTACAAGCAACAGGGGCTAGGCTTGGCCACTCTAGTCTCTGTCCGTTTAGCGCTTCATTTATTTTATCCTCATGTAGTCTGATCTGTTACGTTCATGCTTCATTGATGCTTCACTACAGTTTCACATGGGTGCAAAATCCTAATCTATTGAACTGGATACTACAACGCCAGCAGCTGTTTTATATCCTAAAATGTAAAAAAGCTGACATTTAGTACAGCTGACCTAGCTAAGGAGCTCAGCAAAGAAGTTCTCTGTGAGGCAAACGGCTTTCACTTTTTGCCATGCGTGACAGCGTGAGAGAAAGGCTAACGACAGAGGTCTGATACAATGTCATGGTGGGTCTTCATTGAGACGGTACTGCTGAACAGTTGATTTAAAGCTCATTATAGCTGGCTGTGAACATTCACTCTGGTTATTCACAGACATGTTGCACATTCACTTTTGGGTAAAACGCTTGACAAACACAAACTCCCCACATAGCTATGTCATACATAGTGAGTTCTTAAACGGACAGCACACACAACAATATTACAAGATTTTTATTTATTTATTTACTCCAGTTCAAGTCACTTTGGTCTCTTTGTCTTACAAGGAACTGAACAGGATGCGTTCTCGCAGTATGTCACGTCGATCAGCTCCATCTGGTGCTGTTCTTGAGAAAAGTGTTTCTAGACTACGAAGTCGTAGTGCCCACAGAGAACCGGACCACAACAGCCGGGTAAGTTTGATTTCAGCAGCTGCAAAATATTGTTATTGTGTTGTGTTTTTTTCAGGAAATGCATAATGCAAACATTCTCTATATTTATATATATATATAGACCTTAAGGAAAAAAGTGTTCCGACTCTCTGTAAAAATAGTGAAGAAAATCTTTAGGTTTATATTATGATTTTGCACAATCAAAACAGATATTGGGGGGGGGGAATGCATTGTCATATTGGCAGCTGAATGCCTGGGATGAGTCATGACTATTGAATGGATGGATGTTTAAGCATGGCATCAAAGGCTCACCTCTCAGCATGTTACCCCATGTTGTCTGTCAAACGGTGCCAAATGCCTTCTCATGCCTGCAATTCAAGATTGGATTAAGCAAATTGTTTGCATGTCGTCAGAAGCCTGTTAGTACGGCTCAGGGAAAGCTGTGACATGAGATGGACTGCAGTGCAACTGTGCCCTGCAGACATGTTTTTCTTTCGTGCCCAAGGTTACATCTGTATACAAAACCAACTGTAGTGACATTACTGTATTTAGATTCAGAATATGCATCTTCTCTTGGCATCTGTTAACATAATTTTAAACTCAGTTTAAGGTCACCACCACCATCTAGTGGTTATAAGGGGTCATGGTTTCTGAAATTTGAACTATAAGTACAGTACTGTATTTCAAATGCAGCTACAGTCAAATTTTTGGTGCCGAAAGCAATGCGGTATTCACTATATTCCATTCTAGGGTCGCAGCAAAGATACTAACTTCTTAACCCGTGCCAACAGCATATACAATCAATTTTGTATTGGATTGACAATTGTTTTTCTTTTGTTGTGTGGGTTTTTTTTTTTTTTCACTTTATCTTAGAGTCCGTGTTGTGATTATGATACCAATCTTATGCGTCACTGTTTGCCTAGAATTGTGGGATTATTTGCTGACGATTTGTTCTGCATTATTTGCTGATAGAGATTTGTGCTTCATAGCCAGGGCTTTTGGCTTGGGTTCACCTCTTGCAATTGAAACAGACAAATTGCCCCTTCGCCAATGTGGGGACTACGGAAAATATTTATCTTGCCATACCCCATTTCCAAAAGTATGTTGTTTATTTGGCAGTTCGAAATTAGTTTCGATCTTTAAAGTGGTACCTGTCATATTTAAATAAATGTTTGTTTGTTTGTTTATTTGTTTATTGAACATGTATAAAACATACAATAACATGACAAAATGCAAACAAAAATTATGAAAGGAAAATAAAAGTAAAAGTAAGTAATACAAACATCATCACAGTTATATGTTCAAAGGAGTAGGAAGAAGTATACAACTTATCTAGTCCTACCCCTTGTTGTGCAATAATGTATATTGATCATTTCCAATACCAAAGAAAAGAAGAAATCTAAATTTCATCAAATACTTTTACCCTTTAAATGATTACAAACACTGAAAAAAAGAGCAAATTGAGCAATGATGCCATTTTTTTTTCATCAGGGATATTCTAGTCCAGATTCCTCAAAAGCTATTCAGAATGTTCCTTTTTAATTGATAGCACAATCTGGTGTAGTTGTTTGGGGCAGATAATATCACTTCTGAATATTGGATCAATGCATAACCAATCGAAATAGTTGGTGGCATACAAACCTTTGCTGGGGGAGGGTCCTTCGAGTCACACAGATGAGACGATGGTTGTGTGCTGACATCATGGTGTTAGTCAAAGGGAAGCTTGTGCGTGGGGCTGAGCAGAGCAGAGATTGGCATGGCGCTTACTGCTTTGTTGTACAACTTGTACCTGTGGTCATGTTGCTTGAGTCCGCACTACTTCTGGGTAAGTAACACTGCGCCACCTATACATTTTTCCAGGAGACTGTTCTCGACATGTTCAAAAATGTCATTGAAGTACAGTTCATCTTTATGTTACTTATCATGTCCTTTGTATGCAATCTCTGGTTGGGTTTCCACCTGGCTATGCTGCTGTGCACTGAATGATATCATCAGAAGAGGGGAAGTGATGAGCAGCTGTGAGTCACAACTGGTCAGATGGGTTGTAAAGAGACATTGCAGAGCAGCTTGTTTTAGGAGCTTTTCCTGGACAGTACTTCCTTTAATTTTGGGTATTTCAAATATACATCAGGGATAGAGATAATGTGTGATAAACCCTTTTTTCCTGTTTGCTACAGAAATGAAATACATTGCTATTGCTGATGCTGACTCCTTTTCTTCACGTTGAAAGATATTAAAAGCAAAACATATTCCAATGATTTCACATGCCTTTATCATTCATACAAGACAACTATACATATTGTACCTTCATGAGTAAAGGAAATAATAGTCATTCTTCTGGTCAGATCAGGGAAAAATTACTCAGCTGTTTTCCTGTAAGCGTAGCCTTCCGAGTATGTTACACAGATTACCTGCAGAGGGCATATTTGGACAGTGAGGCAGCATTTTAGCTCCTCTGTCTTTGTGTACTCTGAAATGAATTGTGTGAAGTACAAATGGAGTGTTTTTAATTAATTTCTTGCACACTAGATTAAATTAACAGTTAAAACATGTTGTGATACTTTTTTATGACAACACTGTTGACTAATTAGTTGATATTATTCCACAAAGCTCTTAGATGCCCGTTTTATGTTCTCTCTGTATGTCTCAACAAGCTATTTTTTCCCCACCAAGCTTGATCACAGACTTCTGTCATCACTACTTGGTTATTATTCACAGTTCATCATGTCAGTTTTTTTTTAATTCTCTGCTGTGCTGTTACACCGTCTTTGCCAGCACTCTATATTTGCTTCCATATCCCTTCTTTTGTTGCTATAGCACTTGAGTGTTCTTGCACTGCAATCAAAACAGGCCTGAGCAACGGCACCGCAGAGCCCTCCCCCTACCCTCCCCTCTGTCTCCTGTTTGGAATCAGGGACCTCCCATTCTTGCTGTCGCGCTCTCTGATTCCACTCTTCCACTCTCCACCCAGTTTCTCCTTGAGAGTGAGTCCTAATGTCCTGAATACAGAAAGGAGCTCCACTGACGCATTTTCTCCTACCTGTCTGTACCTGCAGATTACAGCAAAGGGAGAACAGTCTCTCTTTTTTTTTCCCCCTCCCTACTCTGGATTTGACTTTCCTACCACATCTCTCGCTCCTGCCAGTGGTTTGGGTTTCTTGGTGGAATATAAACTAGCGCCGCAGCTTTCTTTTTGCAACTATTTGTCATTTACCGTTTCTCCTCTTTGCCAGGATAGCACCGCCTAGTTGCCGTGGGAGGTTAATCGTTGATGGATTTTTCAACCTTTTTCAGTTGAATCTGGAATCTCGACAGATGGGCATACACCTGCTGATTCGGCGACAGCTTTTGAAAATCAAATTATCACTCAGTTTTGTTAGCTGTGTCAGTTTATCACGAGTCTAGGAAACTTTTGTCATGGCAAGTGCATGAGTTGCTGGTACTTTCTGCACTTGGCATTTACAGGTCCAGGCATTGGCTTTTCAGGAATATCATTGCAAGCATAACCTGTGTCCATCAATATAGACATTAGAAATGTCACAATTGACTGGCTGAGACCCTGAAACCATGACGGTAATGAGCTGAAACGTAGCCCTTGTGGCTCCTCTGAGACTGCATTGCAGAGAAGACATTAACAAGTGAAACCAAAGGGTGCCTTGTTCCTGTTACAGTCATACAGACTATTATAAACTGTAAGCATCACTCCTACATCAGACCGCATGGGCAGTTTTGTGTCTTCACCTTCCGCACTGCTGTAATGCAGTATTGACCCAGCAGCCAGCACCAGTGTTTAGGAAAAAGTTCCTGCATAGCACAGTCTTAATGATTCCTTGCTGCTGTGATAGCAAGTGTCACAGCTCAGCTCAGAGACGATCGTGACAAAGCTGGTTTTGTACAGATTGGACTGCGATGGAGTATTTCTCGGACAAACTGTCAGTGGCACATTCTCAAGTGTCAGGATGGGTAGGAAATGTCCGTCGCTCCTTTCATGGGGCACTAAGCTTTTTTTCCAGTTCAGCGGAGAGAGAAGGAGGAGAAGTCAGGGCCGGACACTTCAACAGAACAAGCTCCTTGCGCTCGCTAGCTTCCCGCAGCAGGGAATCAATTCGCAGGTTTTCACTGCGCAGCCAGCAACGTCTGTCCTTACGCAGGCGCACCGCACCCAACACCCCCATTGCTGTAAGATAGCACCTTGAAATCTGATTATTTTGCATTGATGTGCATGTATGTTTACCCGTTGAACAGCTCACGTTGTCTCTCAGTCCCTCATGTTTACATTTTTCATCTTTATATATCTTGTCTTGACACTTTCCCCTGTTTAGTTATGATGGTGATTTTAAAAATGATTCTGAATATTAAAATGTATGTTCAAAATAGAGACAGAAATCTTCCTGTATCGGCAAAAGTATTCAGATTTTTGTTGCTCTTCAATCATTATCTGTGGTTGACTCATAGTTTCCCTTGTGCCCTCTGTACCTTCATCTTGTGTGTTATTTGAGACATTTAGACAATTCTTTGTGGAAATCGTTGAGGGAAGACGCTTTTCTGTATCAAGCATGACTTTGTCCAATATCTTGTACAGCATTTTCCAGAACACTCCAGGCTGCTATACAGTGGCTCAACCTGTCTATTCATGTAGGTGTAATGACCGGCTGTTGCAAGACTTTTAGGCCGTATACTTTTCTTATAGGTTTTTTGTAAGATTGTCAATTGTCTGTACCGTAGTGACCAGATCTACCATATGCTGTATGGATAGGACAGATTTAGAGAGCCTTGTATGGATGGATACATTGCAGTAAGGAGAGTCACTCCTATCTTTAGGGAACACCTGTTTGCTATCCAATGCTTGATGAGTCATAACAGCTAAAGATAAGCAATGGTTTCAATACATATTTGTGCCCTTGGCCCAAGATGTATCGTTTGGTCTTAGAGAGGTAGCTGTTATTTCAGAGGGCTTGCCAATGGACTTTGCCACTTGTTTTTTTAATCATTATTGAACCGTATAAAGAGATGGAAGTCAGTGTGTAGCGCAGAACTGTGAATATTGGTACAAACGTAATGAACACAAGTTAATGAGCATAGTTAGTACCTGCTTCAGACTGACACGTGACCAACATGGTGTCACAGGAGTGCCGCCATACTGCCCAAAAATATAAACAAGAAGAAACGGTCGTATAAGAAGATTGTAAATGAGTAGGAATCGTCGCATGCTGTCCGCCGGATGCCTCCTCCCTTCGACGAATCGTAATGGCCGCATGTTGACACCCCCACCCCATTTCTCTCCACAAATAAGAATTTGCGCTTTTTGGCCACCACCGTCTCACCCCCC